GCCGATGGTATGAACCGCTAAACCATTGTGCGTCAATGGTATGAACCGCTAAACCATTGTGCGCCGATGGTATGAACCGCTAAACCATTGTGCCGATGGTATGAACCGCTAAACCATTGTGCCGATGGTATGAACCGCTAAACCATTGTGCCGATGGTATGAACGGCAGTTGTCTGTCAAGAGAACCAGCAGTTCTGGTGCGCACTCGACTGACAAGGAACCGCAGTGGTCTGTCAAGAGAACCAGCAGTTCTGGTGTAGCGGTTCATACCATCGGCACAATGGTTTAGCGGTTCATACCATCGGCACGATGGTTTAGCGGTTCTTACCATCAGCGGACAATGGTTTAGCGGTTCATACCATCAGCGGACAATTGTTTAGCGGTTCATACCACCGGCACAGTGGTCTGTCAAGAGAACTAGCAGTTCTGGTGCGCACTCGACTGACAAGGAATAACTGACAGTCTTTGTTACCAGAGTGGGAGGGAACCACTTGCCCGGCCGGGCTAAAAATGAACGAAAAAAAAATAAAAATAATAATGTTTTGTGTTTTTTTTGTTTACTGTGGCAAGGAATTTATATCCGACCCTAAGCAAAAGCCGCAAAAGTTGTTCAGTTTACTTTTCTGCACAACCTGTGTATCACACCGAACATGTTCGGCCGAACGCGTCCCGAACGTGTTCGGCTGAACATATAAAAAAAAAAGTTCTTTTTTTTGGTTTTTGATTTTTAACTCGAGTTTGGTTACGAATTTGAGCATACCTCCCAGACAAAAGTTGTTTGTATTATTATTTTACATAACATATATATATTTTTAGATTTTTCTGAGAACTTCTTTTTTTTTTATAATATGTTTATGTTCTCGTTCGGAGGGTGCCGGGTAAAAATCGAGGTGAGGGGGAGATGTTGATGGTGGGATATCATATCTTAGATTTCCCGGGCTGTGGACTTTACCTTTTCAGGGCCGGGCTGATTTTGGGGTCGGATCAGTCATGGCAGTTGGGAGAGGGTGTCAAGGGGTTGAGAGGATCGATTTGGGGATCTTTAGTTTTGCGGGGGCATGTGCTTGATGTGGTAAGGAAATTACAAGTCCCAGAGGGAGCTGGAGAGACCTGGGGCCAAGTCCCACTTACCCGAATTCTCTAAACCTGACCGTAGATTCGGAGGATCAACGGCCAGAAATGACTTATCAGCGTCAGTGGGACTTGGCCCCTGGAGGTGGTAGTGGTGGAGGGTAAAGAGGGAAGAGGGAGGAGTTGCGTGGGTAACCATAGCCGCTACATGGACACTATCAGGGTAGTAGTTTTTCGCTACTTTACTTGGTATACGGTCCAGATTGACACGCGTTGACCATTGGGGAGTTTTGTTTTTTGGAGCATATTGCCCTGGAGAGGATGCCCGGCTGATTTTGGGGTTGGATCAGTCATGGCAGTTGGGGGAGGGGTTCAAGCGGGTTGAGAGGATGGATTTGGGGATCTGTAGTTCTACGGGGGCATGTGCGTGATGTGGTAAGGAAATTGTAAGTCCCAGAGGGAGCTGGAGGGACCTGGAGGGAAGGGTACAAGGGGGATTTTTAGTTCTACGGGGGCATGTGCATGATGTGGTAAGGAAATTGTAAGTCCCTGAGGGAGCTGGAGGGACCTGGAGGGAAGGGTAATTAGGGTAGAAAAGGGGGATCTGTAGTTCTACGAGGGCATGTGCGTGATGTGGTAAGGAAATTGTAAGTCGCTGAGGAAGCTGGAATCCATATATGAATTGATTTATTGATTTGATTTCTGTTAATTATTGATGTGATTAAATACCATATGGTATTTGTTTTTTTAGTAGAAAAATAAAATTATATTTTTTTTAATATAAAAAACCTTATTTTTTACTTTATCACCCAGTTCTGCGGGGGCATGTGCATGATGTGCGAAGGAAATTATAAGTCGCAGAGGGAGCTGGAGTGACCCAGGGGAAGGAGCAATTCTGAGGCGCCTGGGTGTCGAAAAAAACGATGGAGGGTAAAAATTGAGGTGAGGGGGAGATGTTGATGGTGGGATATCAAGCGTCCTACTACCTTCTTTCCCCGAATGCAACGTACAGTCATTATAGCTGTATTTGAGGCATCTTTCAGTCTAGATACAGCTATAATGACCGTACGTTGTATTCGGAGGAAGAAGGTAGTGAGGGGGTAGCTCGTAGGATGAGAATAGGGTACAACAGCAGTGGAGATGGTGGCTCTGCTGCAGTAAGGCTTGCCGGAGTGAGGTAGAGAGGATTGATTGGGGGGTTTCTGGGTTGTTTTCTGAATTTGGCCTATGCTCTTGTTCCCTTCAGCCATACTTTCAATTTTACTTAGTAATTGCTGCTCGAGTAGTTTAGCATCAGGGCAGCAGCTATCCACGTTTTCTTAAATTTTCTAGAACTCTTTTCATAGTTTTTAGGTTGTTCTTAGCCGAAGCCAGGTAATGGCCCTGGTATTTCAAAGAATTAGTCGGAGCATTAAAAAAAAAAAAAAAAAAAAAAAAAAAGGGTTTGGGCGCTCGTTCGCGTTCGGTCGCGAACGT